AGGTGGGGATCTTGCTATGTTGTGCAAGCTAGTCTCAAACTGCTGGTCTCAAGCAATCCTCCTGCCTCACCTCCCAAGGTGCTGGGATTACTCATGTGAGACACCACACCTAGCATAATTAGTCTTTCAATTCAAGAAACTAGGGAAAAAAACAAAAAATAAGTAACAATAAAGAAGAAGGAGGACAGAGAGGAGGAGGAGAATGAACAAAGCAGGAAGAAGGAGTGAATAGAGAGAGAGCCAGATTTAATGAAACAGGAAGTAGCAACAACAAAGTAATAGCGATGATCAGGAAAACCAAAAGTTATTTCTTTGAACTAATAATGTAGGCCGGGCACGGTGGCTCACGCCTGTAATCTAAGCACTTTGGAGGCCAACGCGGGCGGATCAACTGAGGTCGGGAGTTCAAGACCAGCCTGACCAACATGGTGAAACCCCATCTTAAAAAAAAAAAAGAACTAATAGTGTAATTGCTAACATTTTTTGAGTATTTAATAATAGTTTACTAATGTATTCACCATAATATAATAACTCTTTTTTTTTTTTTTTGCCAATCGGTTTGAGCTTATAAGGTTGCTCAGGTTAGCCTTGAACTCATGACCTCGCCTTCGCAAGCGCCACGACCTCCGGCTGGAGCCACTTTGGACCCCAATATAATAACTCTTAATCCTCACATGAATCCCCTGAAGTAGGCTCTTTTTTTTTTTTGAGATGGTGTTTCACTCTTGTTGTCCAGGCTGGAGTGCAATGGCTCAATCTTGGCTTACTGCAACCTCTGCCTCCCGGGTTCAAGCAATTCTCCTGCCTCATCCTCTCGAGTAGCTGAGATTACAGGCATGCGCCACAATGCCTGGCTAATTTTGCTTTTTTAGTAGAGACAGGGTTTCTCCATGTTGGTCAGGCTGCTCTTGAACTCCTGACCACAAATGACCCAACCACCTTGGCCTCCCGAAGTTCTGGGGTTACAGGCGTGAGCCACCACATCCAGCAGTAGGTTCCATTATTACACCTTTGGCAGACTAGTAAATTCAGGCACAAAGAGGTTGTCATTTGCCTAAGGTAACATGGTAAATGTCAGACTTAGGATTTGAATACAGCAGTCTGAGTGTAGTCTATGCTTTATATTAATACCATATATCAACAAAGTATACAAATATACTACTAACACCTCTATCTTTGAAGTGAACAATTAAGAAAAAAGAACCGCTTGCGAAGGCAAGGTCATGAGTTCAAGGCTAACCTGAGCAACCTCATAAGCTCAAACTGATTGGCAAAAAAAAAAAAAAAAGAAAAAAGAAAAAAGAACCTGGGCCCTGTGGCTTACACCAGTGATCCCAGCACTTTGGGAGGCCAAGGTGGGAGGATCCCAACATAATGGGACCCCATCTCTACCAAAAATTTAAAAATTAACCTGGTGGAGCCAGATGTGGTGACTCACGCCTGTAATCCCAGCACTTTGGGATGCTGAGGTGGGCAGATCACCTGAGGTCAGGAGTTCCAGACCTGCCTGGCCAACACAGTGAAATCCCGTCTCTACTAAAAATACAAAAAGTAGCCATGCTTGGTGGTGGGTGTCTGTAATTCCAGCTATTTTGGAGGCTGAGGAAGGAGAATCACTGGAACCCGGGAGGCAGAGGTGGCAGTGAGCTGATCGTGTCACTGCACTCCAGCCTGGGCGAGAGAGGGAGACTCTATCTCAAAAAAAAAAAAAAAAAAAGAAAAAAGAAAAGTAGCCAGATGTGGTGGTGCACACCAATAATTTCAGCTACTCAGAGGCTGAGAGGCAAGAGAATCACTTCTGCCTAGGAGGTTGAGGCTGCAGTGAGCTGTGATTGCACTACTGTACTCCAGGCTGAGTGACAGAGCGAGACTGTGTCTCGAAAAAGAAAAAGCCCAAATAAATAACATGCAGATGAAAAGGAGAATACAACTAAGGAAAACAGAACCCTGTCTCCATTAAAAAAATACAATAATTAGCTGGTGTGGTGGTACACACCTGTAGTCCCAGCGACTTGGGAGGCTGAGGCACAAGAATTGCTTGAACCTGGGAGGCAGAGGTTTCAGGGAGCTGAGATCATGCCACAGCATTCCAGCCTGGGTGACAGAGCGAGACTCTGTCTCAACAACAACAACAACAGCAACAAAGGAAATAAAGGTCATTTAAAGAAATGGAAAGGTCGGGTGCAGTGGCTCACACCTGTAGTCCCAGCTACTCCCGAGGCTGAAGCAGAGAATTGCTTGAACCCAGGAGGCAGAGGTTGCTGTGAGCCCAGATCGTACCACTGCACTCAGCCTGGTTGACAGAGCGAGACTCTCTCTCTCAAAAAAAAAAAAAAAAAAAAAAAAATCAAAACCAAAACCAAAAAAGAAATGGAAAAGAGTGATATATTACAACTATACCCAGTACCTAGTTATGGGAGTAGAGAGAGATTGAGGTGTCAGAGATGGTTCTGGAAACTTCTAGACAGTGAGTATGGATGAAAAGCAGATGTTAGTTAATTCAGGTGGAAGACAGGAAGTGTTGTTGGTTTTGTGCTACACAAGCTTCTCGAGATGGTTAGCAATTCAGTAGTAGAGATGTACATTTGGATTCAATAGTTTCAACAAATTCTAACTAACTGCTCTGTCTACTTCACAAAAGGCATGCATAAAGAGCTACTGTTCATCCTTCAGGGTACAAGCAAAGCTGTCATTGTGCAACCCCCAGTTCACAATGGATATATTTTTGGGTGAAAGAATACATACACACACACACACACACACACGCAATTTTCTACAAAGAAAAGTGAAGTGTAGGAGGCAGTCTGGACAGTTCACACTAAAACTGTCAAAAAAAACAACAGACAAAAAGAAGTAGATCGTAGCAAGGGCTGAGGGAAGGGAGCAAATGTATAAAATTTAAATCGAATGCATGATTCCTAAATCATAAAGTTCTTATAAACAAATACTAATAAAAACATATATTGCCTTTAGAAAATTTTTTTCTTTTAGGGACAGGGTCTCGCTATATTGGCCAGGTTGGTCTTGAACTCTTGGCCTCAAGCAATCCTCCTGTCCTGGCCTCCCAAAGTACAAGGATTATGGACGTGAGCCACCGCACCCAGCCTGTATAGCCTTCTATGTCTATAAAAGGCAAAGGAAAAAGGGAGGCTATTGAAAATGAAAATGAAGTGGACACTAAGTCTAGGGAAAAGGCCCAACTTTGCAGATAGTGAAATAGTTAAGGAGATAGAACTTCTTGCTCAGTGAAAAAGAAAAGATGTGAGAGGCTGACATACCCACTGTTCAGAAGGCTCTGGAAAATACAGAGTTTCCAGGCACCATTGGTAGTCGTAGAAATCAGTACAACATTTCTGCAGGGCAGCCTGGCCTTGTGTGTCACAGTTCAAGTGTGCATCCTTCTTGATCCAGCAATGCCACTTCTCCTGCTTACCCCAAAGTCAGACTAGATCGAGTGTGCCTTTTTCCGTTTGTTTTGTATAACCAGTTGGTCAAAAGGTTAATGATGATGCGTCAGTACTATGAAACTCTAGGCTGCCATGAAAAAAAAATGTGGCCATACTTAGTGAATAATGTAAATATGTAACACAGGCAACTTATTCAAAAGTAAGGATCTAAAATAGAATATACAGCCAGAGTCCACAGACACAAAATTGTGTGTGCATAGCAAGCTGTCTATAACAGTGGCTACTTGTCGTGATTTGTAGCCTTTTTTCTTTTTTCGTTTTTTGAGACGGAGTCTCACTTTGTCACCCAGGCTGGAGTGCCGTGGTGTGATCTTGGCTCACTGCAGCCTCTGCCTCAGCCACCTGAGTAGCTGGGACTGCAGGTGTGCACTGCCATATCTGGCTAATTTTTATATTTTTAGTAGAGACGGGGTTTTACCATGTTGGCCAGGATAATCTTGATCTCCTGACCTCATGATCCGTCTGCCTCAGTCTCCCAAAGTGCTGGGATTACAGGCATGAGTCACCACACCCGGCCTATAGCCTTTTTTCTATATCTTTTTCTGTATTTATTTATTTATTTTTTAGAGACAGGGTTTCTCCACGTTGGTCAGGCTGGTCTCGAACTCCCGACCTCAGGTGATCCACCTGCCTTGGCCTCCCAACGTGCTGAGATTACAGGCGTGAGCCACCGTGCCCGGCCCTCTTTCTGTATTTCTTACATTATCTATACGAATGCATGTTAACTTCATGTTTGGAAAAGGAAAATAAATTTCTTTTCATTTCAGAAAAACATTTAAAAGTCGTGAAACTCCCAAGGGAAAACTCAAGAATCAGTCCCTTGTATTAACTGCATAATGAACAAATTTCTTTTTGTGGCCTTTCTCTTTTATGATTTTTCTGCATGGTTTTAGGATTTCTAGAGTGACATTTTATATCTAGGAGTAGACTGAATAATGAAATAAAATGTTTGACTATGATTTGATTTCTCCATTAATAAAAGGACCACAATTGCTTTGTTAGTTATGTGGAATATCCTTTGAGACCTATGCATAATAAAAGCAATTATCTACACGTTTCCTGAAAATATGTACATGTATTATATACCAATTAAAACATTTAAAAAGTGATGGTCTAGGCCAGGTGCAGTGGCTCACATCTGTATTCGCAGTACATTGGGAGGCTGGGGTGGTGCAGGATCACTTGAGCCCAGGAGTTTGAGACCAGCCTGGGCAACATAGTGAGACCTTGTCTTTACAAAACATAAAATTAGTAGGATGTGGTGTGGCATGACTGTGGACCCAGCTTCTTAGGAAGTTAAGGTGGGAGGATTGCCCAAACCCAGAAAATCAAGACCATGGTGAGCTATGATTGTGCCACTGCACTCCAGTCTGGGCAATAGAGTGAGACCCTGTCTCAAAAAAATCAAACAAACAAACAAAAAATAATTGTCTATATGGAACACTTTATTGTTCAAATAGTTTGCGATATGGGTGCATAACACGTACGTTATACCAGATGGTTATCAGTGCTCTCTCTCTTTCCCACATTCAGATGTATCAGAACATGGATGGCCGTGTTTCGGAACGTCCTCACACCTACCAAAACAGGCGACCTTTCAGTAGAGAGATGAATTCGGGGCCGCTCTCTCCACAGGCTCAGGTGGAAGATTCATAGAGGAACAATTTATTCTTAAGGACTTCACCCCTCCACCTGTCCCTAACACGCTGTAGATTACCAAAACAAGATGAATTTCATTACTAAAAGAAAATCTATTATCAACTGCTGCTTCACTGGACTTTTCTCTAGGAGTTGTCTGCATTTACTCTTGTTTTCAAAGGGACTTTTGTAAAATCAAATCGCCCTGTCACAAGGCAGGAGGAGCTGATAATGAACTTTACTGGAGCATCGACCTGCATCCAAGGCCTTCTCGGGCCGGCTTGAGTGAATTGGGTCCCTGAAGTATAGTGTATTCTTGTAAATACATAAAACAAAAGCATTTTTGCTAAAGAGAAGCTAATATCATTTTTTTAAATCTATGTTTTAAAATAATATGTAACTTTTTCAGCTATTTAGTGATATATTTTATGGATGGGAATAAAATTTCTACTATAGAATTGGCCATTATTGAATTATTCACATGTTATAATTAGGGCAGGTCTTAACTGGAGTGCATGAACCCCCTGAAATTGTGCACCCAAAGCCACCTACACATTGCTTCCAGAGCACGTGTGCTTTTACCCCAAGATATAAGGAATGTGTAGGCAGCTATGGTGTCACAGCCTAGGATGTCTGCAACAACAAGGGTTCATTATAAACAGCAAGTTTATAAAGAATGGGTATTCTAGCATAAACAGTAATACATCACCTAGACACTTTGGCAGTGTTCCCAGACTCAGGGGCAGTCAGAAGTAATATGAAGGATTAGTATTTTCAATAAAGTTACTCTTGTCCCCATAGTACCCATTTATTTATTTACTTATTTATTGATTGATTGATTGCTTAATGTTTTAGTGACAGGGTCTCACCCTGTTGCCCAAGCTGGAGTGCAGTGGTGAGATCACAGCTCACTGCAGCCTCAAACTCCTGGCCTCAAGCGATCTTCGTTCACTGCTGAGTAGCTGGGATTACAAGCACATGCCACCACGCCCAGCTAATTTTTAAAGTTTTTTGTAGAGACAGTGTCTTGCTATGTTGTGCAGGCTGGTCACAAACTCTTGGCCTCAAGCAATCCTCTTGCCTCAGACTCCTAATGTGCTGGGATTACAGGTGTGAGCCACGGCACCCAGCTCCCTTTGTTCTTTGAGGCTTAGCACCCTCCATCCCGTAGGCTTATGAACTTGGCTTGTCCCTCACCCCCGCACTTACACGACAGGTGCCACCAAATTCTGCCTCTTCATTCTTCTCGACCTCTGTTGTGTGTAGTGGTGAGGACAAGGGATCTGGCACCAGTCAGCCTAGGTCGGAGTTCTCTTTCCACCTGGTCTTAGCTGTGTCACCAGGGGCAAGCCACTCAACTTCTCTAGTCTCAGTTTCCTTTTCTGAAAAATGAGACCACTAATAGCATCTCTTTTATAGAGTTGCTAGAAGAAGTAGATGATTTAAATATACAACGTATATAGCATAGAAATATAGAACATAAACATCATGTAGATCAATGGCTGGCATCTCAGTGTGACCTAATAGCATCATTTGTGCTTTCCTTTAGAGTTTTAATCCTTTGCCTAGAACCAGGTAACCATAAACTCTCTTAGATTACCAGTCCTTTTGATGGTAGCAGTGGCCATCTGCAGCGGTCATTGCGAAGATGCCAGCTGTAGTGTGGGAGCTGCAAGGGGCTGTGAGCGCCATGGAGCTGGCGGGAGTCCCGCCCCCTTTTGATATGGCAGGCGTGAGCCCCGCCCCCTTTCGAGACACCAGGCCGGAGCCCGGCCCTCCCGGGAGCAGCTGGCAGCTGCGGACCCAGGCATCCCTGCGCCTTCAGCTGGGGAAGCCCTCCCTGCCCTCACTGCTCAGAAGAGCCTGCCCTTGCTGTCTGGCCTCTTCCCACTCCCGGTGGCACTCAGATTTTGGAGCAAAGTTGAGGCTGAGCGCGGGTGCTGTCGCCACCCTGCTGCGTGTGTGCACACTCAGGGTGGTGCTGACATGCCAGCCCCTGCTGCCTTGGGCCCCTCTGGATTTTAGGTACCGACCAGCACAGGAAGGAGGCCAAGCTGGGGCGGAGGGCGACTGGGGGAGGGCCTGCAGGCCCTTTTTTTTTTTTCAGAATTCCTTCAATTTTAATTGCAGAGGTAAAATCAGGCAACCACTGAAGATAAAATACAGTAATTACAATGCTGTTTTCTTTTGTAAAGTGAACATGATAAGAGTTATTATTTTTTTATTAGCGCAAGTGGTCAAAGTTGTCAAAATTGTCCTCATTCCTCGATTGTCTCTTTTTTACTAGTCTCTTGCCCTTCAAACAGAGGATACCTGGCCTCCACATCGGCCCATGTGATGCTGCCATTCGCCAGGTCTCGGACTATACTCGGCAGCTCAGAGACCTCTGCTCTTATCTGCCGCATTGAGTCACGGTCCCTCAGAGTTGCAGTGTGGGGGGTCTTGTTCACTGTGTCAAAGTCAATGGTGACACCAAAAGCCACGCCAATCTCATCAGTCCTGGCATAGCGCCTTCCAGTTGACCCAGAGGAATCATCTACTTTGTGAGACACTCCGTGCCGGGTCAGGGCTTCCGATAATTCCTTGGGCATCTATGGACAACATAATTGATGGTAGCAGGAGGCAGATAGGCTCCTGGGCAGAAGGAGTCAGATCCCCAGTGAAGCCCCACCTTCAAGCCAGGGACTGCTCGAAGCATGGGGGCCAGGCTCAGTTCCAGGTGTGGTCCTGGGCAGGAAGTGAGAACTTCTGGTGCTTTTTCTGCTGGACTATGCACTAATTAGCATGCACCTCCTCCCTTCTGAAGCCCATTCATCTCTCTGCTGCCCACCCTCCACCCCCACACTCAGCCAGATTTACAGATACCTGGGCACAACTTGCTTGTGGAAAGGAGCTACCCACTTTAGGTCTCCTGACAGCTGTTCTGTTGCTCAGTGAAGCTCTTCTCTGCCTTGTTCACCCTCCACATGTCCCGGCACCTCATTCTTCCTGGACACTGGACAAGAACTTGGGACCCACTGATTGGTGGGACTGAAAGAACTTTAACTTGGTGACAAGGAGAGAAAGCCCAGACCCAGGGGCTCCCCAAGCCAGGGCTGTGACATCCTCTCTGGGGCTCTGCAATTCCTGGCATCTCCAAGCTGCCAGGCACCACCAAGTTCCCCTCATTCAGACACGGGTGTCTGCAGTGGTAGCCAAATATGGTGTATGTAGCCCAGCTGTAGCCTCTCCCTGAACCGGCACCTGTGTCAGTGCCTGGAGCTGCCCACCCCTCTGCAGCAGCCAGAATGCCTGGCTGTACACAGTGGTCAGACCCTTGGTCACTTGCCCAGGCACCCTTCCTGGCTCTGCGTCTGGCTCGCCCTTGGCGGGTGTGGAATCTGGGCTCGTAGCGCAAGCTGCTGAGCCAGGCTTCTGGGCTGAGTGGGTGGAATAAGCCGGGAGGCTGCCAGCAATACTCAGGCAGAAGGCACCGTGGGCCATAAAGGTTTCTGGCTGGCAAAGCACCGGCCCAAGGATCCCGTGACTTCGTCCTCACCGAACTCCTCCTCCAGTCTCTCCGCCTCCAGTGTTTTCTCTAAGTCACTGCCAGATTCATCTTCCTGAAGTACTGATTTGCTGTTTTGCTGCCTGCAGGGCTTCCTGGGGGGCTAGCTGCAAAAGCCACGCTCTCTTCCTAGCATTCCCCATGCGCTCACAGCCTGGGCCTCAGCATTGCTCTGCTCTGGCTGCCCAGCCTGTCTCTCTAGTGTGTATGGCTTGAACATTCCCACCGCCAGTCTTCCTTTTTGTCACACTCCCTCTTCTTGGGATGTCAACTTCTACGCTTCCTATTTACGTCCTTGCTTCCTGACCAGATTTCAGCTCCTTCTTTTCCTTCAGTTTCCCCACCCATGAGTGATGGCTTCCTGCACTGAAATCCTGTAAGGGCTCCTGTTAACATAGAGCCTGCCTACATCACGCTGTTATTTATCTTCTTAAGTAAATGTCTGTCTTCTCAACAGGATTTTAAGAAGTTTGAAAGCAGATATGATTTATGCCAAGCTGTACGCTTAACTGTGATTTGTGTATACAGTCAAGATGCAATAAGTATACATAGTCAATCACTTTTTTACCTACTCAAGGAAAACATAAAATGTGCTTGATGTTTTCTGAGGAAATTTAAACTTGATTTAATAACTTACCCTCTCCAATGCGCTGTTAACTTACCTTGAGATGACTGTTGGGTTCTACTACTAAGTGGTTTTCTGTGTTTCTTTACTTCTATGTTTTAGCTTTCTGTGATTCTCATTTTGTCTCTTTTTCTCACACCTGTCTTTATTTATTTATTTATTTTTATTTTTTTCCTTTTTAAAAAAGTTAAAAGCCACCATGGCAGTCTTTATTCTTTATCGTGGTAAAAAAAACACATAAAATGTATGGCCCTAGCCATTTTTAAGTATGAATGGAATCATGTTAACATAGAGCCTGCCTAAGTATATTCACACCATTGTGAAACAGAGCTCCAGGGCTCTTTTCGTCTTGCAAATATGAAACTCAGCACCCTTTAAATACTAACTCCTCAGTCCCCCTTACCCAGGTCCCTGGCCACCACCATTCTACTCTCTGTTTCAGAGTTTGACTGCTTTAGGGACCTCCTATAAATGGAATCATGTAATACTTGTCTTTCGTGTCTGGCTTATCGCACTTAGCATAAGGTCCTCAAGGTTCATCTATGTTACACATGTGTCAGAATTTCCTTCCTTTTTGAGGCTGAATAAGATTCCTTTATATGTATTTATCACATTTTATTTATCTATTCATCCTTCCATGAGCATTTGGGCTACTTCCACCTCTGGGTCATTATGAATATGCCTCTATGAACGTGGTGTGCAAATATCTCTTCAAGATCCTGCTTTAGACTGGGTGCAGTGGCTCACACCTATAATCCCAGCACTTTGGGAGGCCGAGGTGAGTGGATCACCTGAGATCAGGAGTTCAAGACCAGCCTGTTCAACATGGTCAAACCCCATCTCTACTAAAAATACAAAAAATTAGCTGGGTGTGGTGTTGGGCACTCCAGCCTGGGGGACAGAGTGAGATCCTGTCTCTGAAAGAATAAAAAAGTTTGAGGTATATTTCCCCCATCTTCTTGCTAAATATATTTACACTCAGCTTTGGGAGGCTGAGGCACAAGAATTGCTTGAACCTGGGAGGCAGAGGTTGCAGTGAGCCGAGATCACGCCACTGCACTCAATATGTCTTCTCTGATCAAGGCACTCCAGCCTTGGAGACGGGGTGAGACTGTCTCAAGAAAAAGAAAAAGACCTGCTTTCAATTATTTTGGGTCAATCTTCAGACGTGAGATTGCTGGATCATAAGGTAGTTATATTTTTAACTTTTTGTTGTATTTATTATTATTATTAATTTTTATTATTGGTAGAGACAGGGTCTCGCCTTGTTGCCTAGGCTGGTCTCAAACTC